TTCATCGTCACTCCTAGATGTTTCTAATTTTGCCAAAATTCCTGAGTCCAAAGTGCTAGTTGCAAGATTGCAACATCAAATTTTACTTGAACTTGCAAAAAAATGTAAAACCCAGGACACCTGGCATGTCCTGAGGCGGCACCGACATGGAAAAAGGAGGTGGAGTGCAAGATGAAAAACTGTGTTCAGCTCTTGAAGCCTTTTATCATGGAGAGGATCATTTTCCAGACACCTGGCAGGGAGGAACCTGTGCACTCAGGCAGAAGAACTTACCAGAAAAGTTGGCCATGTGTGTGCATTCATCCATCACTCCTTTCATGAAGCTGATTGACTCTGTGTGCAGCGATGGCCGACAGCATTTGTGGGAGTTCATCTTCTTTCTATGACCCACAGTGATGGTTCTGAAACACAAAGAGGAACCAACTCCTTAACTTTCAAATCTGGGTGCTAACACTTTGTAAGAGGAAGTAATGATTTTAAAGTGAATAATAAAGATTAGTTCAAAACAGTGACATGCATTAAGTTCTTGAGAGGTGGACAGCTGCATGTATGAGAGTATTTTTATGTGCATCAGTTCATTTCTTTATCCTGTGTTTCTAGATCTTGTTTTACATTAACATACTGAGGTTTTGGCTTCCTGTCTGAAAAAAATACTTTTATTTAACTATAAGGATTTTTTAGGAAATGTAACATTTATCTGCTGGCTTTATTCACTGAACTGTTATTATTGACTAAACAGATGTACTATGGTCTCAAACATCAATTACCCGGTAACAGTTCTGCCGCTGCTGAATAGTGATGAGCCGACTTCAGACTGCGTCTCCACTTTAACGAAGCGACCATCTTTGGTTGGCAGAGCTCCAGCAAGGCCAAGCAGATTCCCTAAAGAGTCCACATTCCTCTGCAGTTCTGTTCCCATCTTAAAAGAATCAGCCTGACAGGCAGAGGCATAAAGAGGAAACAATAAGCATAACCCTTTGCTGTGGGATGAGGTTTGTATATTTGAATTTGCTCACCTCACTAATTAACAGATTTTTTTTATTCAAATTTCATAAACATTATGGAATTATGAAATTATTACTATTCAATCCATGAAGGTTGTGCATAAATGGAATTGTTATGCAGTAATTCAGTGATGTTGAAGGAACGATGAGAAGTTTACCCCACAGTACTCCAGCAGCTTGATGATCTCCGTCTCATACACTGAATTAACTGCATACTGCTTCTCCAACTCGGCCCAGTTCACTGCTCTGCTAAGCACACCCTGGACTCACACACACACATTACACCAGCTCACTCTTAGTTTGATGGAACAACTGAAAGAAAACAGAAACACTACTTGGCAGGTCTTCAACCATCCATTAAAGCACAAGTTCAGGGTTTTTCTTTAGACATTATGTTATTTTATTTTTGTATCTGACCATCGCAGGCGACACTGAACAGCCATAACACAAGTCATAAAGCTGGTTCAAATATAGTGAATAGGAAACTTGTAGCCATGGAATTAAACTTGGTCCATGTTTTTGCCGAAATTTGAGCCAAACTTTTTATTTGATGGCGTTTAGATTTTTCAGCAATGGACATTAGAAGTTTTTCACAAACTGCTGAGGGATGACAATATTTTCTTCAATCAAGAAATGTTTAAAAGTTCAGTCACTCTGGCAGTAATAAATAAAATAATAATAATAATAATAA